CTGTTTCCTTCCAACCAAAGATAATCCCTATTTTTCTACTCGCATTTTTTACATGCTTTCGAACTGCTAGGTTGGCAGAAGCTGGGACAAGTAACGGGAGCTCACTCCGTTACGTGGCGCTAGGGATTCGATCCGCTGAACTGCCGACCTTCCCGATCAACAAACTCAGCATCTTAGCTGGACTTCCTTCCTTCTTTCTTTCTTTCTTTCCTTCCTTCCTTTCTTGAGCACGTTTCGTTTCTCTTCTGAAGGACTGAAGAACCTTCTTGGACGAGAAGCAAAACGTTTTCAAGAAGAGAGAAACCCATGAAAGTTCAATTATCTTTGGAAAAGCATCTGTAGAGCTCGAAGGGACCTTGGAGGTCTTCTAGTCCAGCCCCCTGCTCAAACAGGAAACCCTATAACACTGATGGCGATCCATTCGGCACCAAATGTGCGTGTGCACACGTGCGTGTGTTTTCCCGAAAACGCCCCCCCCCCCCTATTTTTTAAAGGACATGAATAGCCTTTAGGAGGCTTGTAGAGTGCTCCTGGGGGCTGGGAAGGGCAAAATTGAACCAAAAACAGACCCTTTTTGGCTCACTTCTGCCCTCCCCAGCCCCAGGAGCACTCTGGAAGCTTCCTAAAGGCTATGCATGGCCATTTTCGCAAAGGGGCGGGGTTTCGGGAGGCAAAAAGGGCTTTATTCGATGTATAAGACGCACCCAGATTTTCAGCCTCTTTTTTTGAGGAAAAAGGGTGAGTCTTATACACCGAAAAATATGACAGTTTCCATCCACTGTTTCTTGTCCTGCCTTCAGGTGCTTTGGAGAATAAGCTGACACACACACACAAACACAGGTCTTTGTGGCAGCCTCTTAAATACTGGAATAATGCCATCAGGTCATTGCCAAGTCCTCCTTTCCTTTAGACCAGGGGTCGGCAACCTTAAACACCCAAAGAGCCACAAAGGTCCTAACAGAAACAAAAGTCCGGTTTCCCCCATCATAGAGTCTCCTCCTAGCACAGCTTCCTTTNGCATCTCCTCTCTTTCATTGGCCCATCTCAAGAATGCCTTCAGCACCCTTGGGCAAGGAAGGCAAGATCTACTGGCTGTGGATAATGGGAGGGAGAGTCCCCTAAGGCCTATCTTGGAAGCGCTGCCCCTTCAAATGCAAGAGCCAAACAGCTGGTGGGAAGTTATAAGGGGGAGGGGGAAGGGGGGGGTCCAGCATATCTGGGAGGGGCCCAGACTGTCACTCAATCTTCACCTGACCTGCAAAAACCACAACCCACCGAAGCCCCCCCCCCTTCCCTTCCCTTCATGGCAGTCCAAGGCCACAGGGCCCCCTACCAGAAATAAGACGTCGGGCCCAGCCAAAACCGCGGCTGCGGCTGCCAAACGAACCCCCCCGCCCTCCGCGAGGCCCTTCCTGCCCTGACACGCGTCCTCCCGGGTTCGGACGTGCACTGCGAATCAGGGGTTGCCATGGAGACGCCGAGGCTGGCGGAGAAGGCGAGGCCCTCGGTCCGAAGGAGAAGGCCGAGGCCTCTTCGGCGAGCCGGACTTACCTCACCGGAGGAGGACGCCATGGCCCGGGGGAAAAAAAAGCGCGCCGGCTCCCGAGCCGGTTGAGACGCTCGCCCTCCGTCTCCTCGCCTCACACGGCTTTCCCTTCAGCCGGCACAGGGAAGCGACGCGGGACTTCCGGCGCCCTCGTGACGTCCCTTCCGCTCCGAGAGGCGTGCCTTGCGGCCGCCATCTTAAACGAGGCGCCGCGGGAGGGCAACGTCACGATGGGCGTGGCCTCATATGTAGCCGGAATGTTCCAATTATGCAGGCCGGGGGGGGGGAAGAGAGAAAACTAGCCGGGTTTTTCCAACTTGGAGGGGACGCCGCCCCCAAACTCGTGCATTTGAATTGTGGGGGGGCAGTTGCACTTGTGGGTCAGAAGTGGGGTGGGGGATGCAAATCCTGACCTCAGGTTTGGGGTTCCCCCCCCCCAAAGCCTGTGCAATTGCCATTTGTGTTGCTCCCACATCTGTCTATGGAGATTNCCCCCACCATAGAGTCTCCTCCTAGCACGGCGTCCTTTTTCCTCTGTCTGTCCTATCTGAAAGCCCTACCAATTGTGGAGCCGACCGGAAAACCCACCCCCTGCCAAAGAGTCTTCTCCTGGCACGACGTGCTTTCCCTCCCCAACCGGAAGCTCCTCTCAAAATTGTGGCGGCAACAGGGCGCTGCAGCAGAGGGATGAAAGAGCCACATGCGGCTCCAGAGCCGCAGGTTGCTGACCCCTGCTCTAGACTGGCCAAGCCCAAATCCTGTAACCGTCCTTACGTTTTAGCCTCCTTTGGGGGAGGAAGGACACAGAAGCAACCCGGGTGAGAGGAAAAGCAATGGGCTCACCTGAGATCTTGCAGGCACCTGCAGTGCTTCAGCATGTCCACCAGAGCCGACACGTACATCACCTTGCCCATCAGACCCAGGTTGGCCAAGGAGAGCGCCCGCAGGCGCTGGCACTGCACCCCAATGTTCACCAGCCCGTAGCCCGTGAGGATGTTGGGCAGCTGAGCCAAGGTGAGGCTTTGCAGGAAGGCCAGCTGGCCAATGGCGGCCACTTCAGCGTCCCCGATGTGCTGCGCCCGGCTGCAAGGGGGCAGGGAGTTCCGAATGGCCGGCTCGTTCCGAGGCATGGCCGAGGAAAAACTGGAGCCGATCAGCTCCAGCCGTTCCAGAAACGGGAGGTTTTCCAGAAGAGTCCAAAAGACGGAGGACGGCGGCCTGGGATCGCTCTGCTCCAAGCAGTTCCTGGGATAGGCCTGCACCCCGATTCGGACTTTCTTCCCAAACCCTTGGGAGTGAGCCACCGGCTGCACCGAAGGCTTGTCGGCCGTCAGCAGGGCGGCGGCCGCGTCAGCCACGGCGCAAACCGGCAGCGCCAGAGAGAGGAGGCCCTCCAGGCGAGCCAGCACCTGGCACAGGTGCTTCCCCAGGCCTTCCGGGCTGTGGTGGTGGGCGGCGGAGAGGTTGAGGTGCTTCAAGTTGCAGCAGGCGTCCACCAGGGCTTCGGCGATGCCGCTGTCGATGTCGTCCTCCGCTTTCCGCAAGGAGGAATCGGGCGACAGGCAGTGGACGCAGCCGCTCAGGTTCAAGCCCACCAAGCTGCCCAAGTCTCTGCCGCTGTTCAACACCCGCTGGACCAGCTGCCCGCCGGACAAGCTGCAGTGGCTGAAGCTTAAGTAGAAAGGGTTGCTGAACTTCAAGTGCTGCAGGAGGCTCGAGCCGTTCATCCAGGAGCGAGGCAGCTGGAGGGCGTCTAAGGTCACGTTCCTGGCCATGGAATCCAGGAGGTTTTTAACGGCGCAGCTCTGGGCAAACCCACCCGGCGCGGAGATGAGGAAGGCGTGAAGTTTTTCCGGGGTCCGGTCGCTCAGCACCGCCAAGTACAGCCTCACCACTTCCTGGTTGACCGGGCCAGGCGCCAACCGGGCGTAAAAGACCCGTAGGTTCTGATAATGGGGCACGTTGCTCTCCCCGACCATCAGCTGGCCGGAGATGATCAGGCCCTCGCGGGATCGGTCAAGGATCTCGAAGTACAAGAGCAGCTTCTCCAGGCTGGTGCAGCAGGGGACCACCCCGTAGGAGGGCGTGTAGAGGGTCTGCTTCAGCTCCAGCACCCGGCTCAGGGTGGCTTTGCACTCGCTGCTCAGGTGGGAGGCGTCGAAGCCGGGGTTCACGTCGATGGCCAGCGAGCGGAGGTGCTGCAGGGACGAGAGCATCTTCGAGAGGCGAAGGGAGGTGAGGTGGCAGCCGGAGAGGTTCAGCTTCACCAAGTTCTTGCAGTGGGTCACCTGATCGACGGTCGAGCCCGGCAACCAGTAACAGCCGGTCATGTCCAGCTCCTGGATCTCTTTCCCAATCTCCTTCATCAGCCGCTTGACCTTGTCTTTGTCCACCTGCGTAGAAACAGTTCGGGAGGTCAAAGGAAACCGGTTATGGCAGGCCTAGATTTATTGATCAAGCTTAGGACAACTCATACATTGCCGATCACCTCCCATAGACCGATTAGATCACACAGGTTAGGTCTCCTCCGGATTCCATCTGCCAGCCAATGTCGGCTGGCGACTCCCCGGGGGAGAGCATTCTCTGTTGCAGCTCCGGCCCTCTGGAACGATCTCCCCGTGGAGATCCGGACCCTTACTACCCTCCCGGCCTTCCGCAAAGCCGTTAAGTCCTGGCTGCTCCAGCAGGCCGGGGGGGCTCTCGAAATATCCAGCCCCTCGGAAATTGTGACTGTTGTATATTTTAATATGTTGTTTGTGTATTATCCCCCCATCCCT